AAAGAAGGAAGCTACATGGCATTATTTATACTGCCTGTCTATGGCAATGATCCTCTAAGAGAAAATATTGGCCACTTCTTTCTGTGATCTGCAGAAACCACCTAAGTTACTGGTCTGGACTATGCTTACAGAATTGAACTTCAAAACAGTTGAAAACTGCCCCTTTGGTAAAGCACCATTCTTCTACAGGTGGACTAAACTTTAAATCACTGTAATAATCAATGTAATAACCACTGCTCTGAAGAAAGCATGGCCTTTTTAATGACTAAGCAGTTCAAAATGAAAGTGTCGTGACGTAGGGTAGTGTATCTTGCTTTGGAAGTGGAAGCAAAAATTTGTGAACAAGGACATTGCTTAACATACAAAGTGTAGTCCTCAAACATTCTTGCTGATCACAAAATCTTACAAGATGTTTATCCTTAGTTTCATACAGTGAGATTTTATTTATCTTTATTTTATATGTTAGAACTCTGCAATTCTAATTCTAGCAAGATCTTTGAAACCTTGGGGGTAGCTCTGAGTCTTCTTTACCACAGTGCAGGCAAACTGATTTACTGAAGTCAAAAGAAGCAACATCAAATAAGACTTCTCTAGATTATTTTAGCCCATTCCATAACCATTCCTTTGATGCAAGTGAAAACACAGGGATGTTTCTGGATCTTTTTAGATATATCTTCGTGATTTATCATAATCTTTGTCTTACCTGATGAGCATACATATCTTGTTAGATGTGTCCTTCCAGAACTATTTAAAAAAAAGAGATTTTTACAATGTGTGGTATAAAAAAAAATAAATCAGACTAAGTAAATTCCTTTGAAATCATATGCATTATTAGGTCACATCCTGAAGATTGTGGAAGGCATACATAAAAGCTAGTTAAGGGACAGTGGGAATCCAGAACACAAAGGTGTAAGCAGTGCAGATTTCAACTAGACATTTGTAACACAGGTGATCACAACACTGATAGGAGAGATATGACATTAGACACACCTCCTTCTTCACACCATTTAAGCCTTCAAAGCAAGTTAGCTGTATTACCTGGTCTTTTTTCTTTTCCCATTGGTTTCCCATGGGGTCCACTGTGTTTTAAATGCACTTCAGTTATTAAAAAAAAGTCACTGACTGGCTTATGAAAATTAAAAAAAAAAATCTTTGATTTCCCAGTGTCTTGTCTGTAGGTCTAGTGGTTTTCCTTTTATTACTTTGGTTCAATGATTATCTGACAGGGAACTGATCAATTCATACACTTAGTTAGCAGGTCTGTTTGTGAAAGTACCAAAACATGGAAGTAGACTATTATACATGTTTTCTCTCAGGTTTTCTGGAGAATATGTTGGTTCTTCCCCCTTTTGTTGTAGGTAATCTTTCTTAGATTTATTTAACAAGGTATTTTTGTTACTTAGTTTCTCAGCAAAAACCTTATCAATTTAATAATTAGCAGGACCAAACCTTGGACTGTAACTCTCATCTATTCAGAAAACTATCAATTATGCAAATAGAACTCTCAAGAGGAAGAAATTTGTCACAGGTTAGAAAAAGAGAACCTCAGACCCAAGAGCAGAGTAGAAAATAGAGATAAGGATCTTCTCAAGGCATACAAGTGTCTAGGGTAGATGACCTTCTGTTTTTAACTCCTTCCTGGTTCTTTAGCCTGTCAAAGGCTGAAACTACTCACCCACCTTCCCACCAGCTATGCACTTCCAACTTCAATTAACAAATTCACTCTAGACCTTTCTTTGCAATGCTATCTTCCCTCCCTCCTTTTAAAAATGAGAACACTAGTGAATAATTTACAGTGTCTAGAGCGCTTTTTAAAATACATTAAATTTAATATAAATTTAAACTGAAAATCAAAGCAGATTCCTCAAATTGTCTTGTTATTTTGACTGCTCATTGCTGTTACTTAAAAGGAGATGGTCAACATACAGATTTGGAACAAGCCATATGAGACACAAGAATCAGTTTTGTACTAAGGTAAAACCCTAGAGAAGTAGTCTTGTCTTTTGGATAATAACAGGGAACCCCAAAATAGATAAGATATCCAATTTGCGAAGGCATTATTTTAACCCTTGTAGATATTGTACATATTATTTTAAACAGAACAGGTCAGAAAAGTAACATTCCACACAAGCAATTCATGTACCAAACACACAATAAACAGAAAAATCCAAAATTTATTCTATGAATGAAACATCTGGGCCTTGAATATCTGTAAAGAGTTCCAAGAAAAGCTGAAATTTGAAGGTGTTATCCAAAATCACTGGAACGTAAATCAAAATTACAAAGAATCCTGCAATTCAGTGCACGTTTGTGAAACATTTGTAATCTCATACAAAATCAAAAATGTTCAGAAGAGTTTAAATGAAACTACAACATTTCTAACAAGCCTAATATGCAGTTGCTGGAATGATTAAGCTAATATCTAACCTGCATGCAGTCTCTGTAGGTCAATGAGTCCACATACATTAGTTGATTTGTGAATGTATTACACATACTCTCTATCTCTCCTAACTGTATATGCATATACGCAGTGAGTCCAAAGATTGTGCCACCAAAATACTTTAGGGTAAATTTTTTTATATGAAATATTTTGTTTCATATTACATTGAAATAAAAAATGTTTATTCTGGCTTAAACGATTTGTTGTTTGGTTGTTTGGTGTTCTTTTTGTAAAAACTGAAGAGTCACTTTCTAAGCAAACATTTTTAATCCAGTATTCATTCAGAAGCAACGAGAAAATAATTCAATATTTTCAGGGACTTACTATTTCCAAGTTAATTTAGAGGTAAGGTAGGGGTATGTCTATTTTCTCATAAACTTCACCATATACAAAAATAATTACACAACTCTAGATGAAAAAATCAGACCTAGCTAAAATGGTTTTGAAGACACTTAAAGGTGATTAAAAGGTCAAAAATGGCTCTTTCAAGATATATTTTCTACTATAAATAAGAGATCTACCTAAATGTATTTTGGGTTTTACATTATAAAGAGCCACATTCATAATATGAACACATGTAAAAGGACAATATGGGCCTAAAATTATGGCTACATATTTACAAATTGAGAGTATCTGTAACAAATTCAATTGATGTGGACCCATATTACTATATTTGAGAATAAATTAATTGCTACTCACCTGCTCACTGAATATTTGACTGACCTGTTAGAAATGCTATCAAAGCATTACAAGTCACAGTGGCATTTTCTTAATAGTTCCTTCAGTTCCCTTTGCATTTGTGGAAAATTTTTTAAATGAGATTTCAATTTCACCTGTTATGGGATAAACCCTACTCTATCTACAAGCTCATATCTCTGGTCTTAGTTGCAGCTGAGAGGTTCATTCACAACAGAATTTGATATGTTATATTCTGTCAGGGATTGCCATGCTATCAGAACAGTGCAACAGGACCTTATTTTAAGGGTTTTTTTAGTGTAATATATGAGTTCACTTTTTATGACAAGAATGTTGATTTTAACATTTAAAGCACCCATGGTTTATTTCTGCTTAGTGAGGAAAGTGTTAAGGACCATTGGTAGTATATTTTTAAAGCTGTACAGTACTACACATTTTAACAATCTTAGAAATTTAAGATGTCTCAAAGTAAGCAAACAAAGCAGAATTCATCTCTGCGCTTACTAGAAAATTACATCTGTGAAACATCTGATTCAACACTTCTCTTTGAGTACTTGCTTTTGACAGAGGTCACTGTAGGTTTTCTAATGTTTTAAAATTCAGTCAAGACAGATCTTACTAAATGAAGAGCTCACAAGAAAGAAATGTTAAGGCAGAGACTTCTTAACCGATGTACTCAAGGGGAGAAAAAAGTAGCCACTATGGATCACCACTTGAACAAGGACAGACTTTTCAGACACAGAAAATGTGGAAGGCAGTCACAACTTCACAATTTCCTGGTGTTTTTCATTTAAATGCCACATAATACTGAATAAACATTAATTAATTAAGCCACTTAACGTATCTACTACATACAGTAAGGAAGAAATGTGCTTACTTTTTTGGCAGATATCCTACTACCCTAAAGCTGCTGATCATAAAGATGATCCAAAGCAATAGTTGCAAGCCATCAAGAAAAAATTACATATACTTTTATAATCTACAGAGTGCTTTGTAAGAAGTTAAAGGGGAAAAGACTCTGAAGATATTGCTCTTTGAGTAATTTTAAATATATATGTTTTCTGAATGAAAAGAAAAAACAAGAATTTAGGAGAATGTTCATGAAAAAAAATCTATTTTAAAATTAAGTCTATTCTTTAAGTTGTTATCCATTGGTAAAACCTCCTCAATTACAAAATATCCTAAAAGTCTCATTTCAGTTTTAGAAATAGAGGACTAGTTAGAAAAACAGAAAAAAAATGGAAGTTCAAGTTACAATTAAGTTATCTATTCTCATTATTTAACATATGCATGCACAACTTTTCACAAAAGTAGCAGCAGTATGAATATTAAAAACATGTTTAGATATAAGCACTTCCAGTTCCTTTAAGGCTTGGAAAGAGAAAATTATTAGTGTGTAATGATTTTAAATCCTAGGTGGATAATCTCACATTATGAAATAAAACATATGTCAAAGATTTTTCTAGAGTTTTATCAATTTCTTTTAGAAATTTCTGGAAATTTAAATAGTTTTCTGCAAGTATGTATCCTCTAGAGGAGTATATTTCTATACGATGTAAGAATGTCCTTAGTCATTCAAAACCCGTATTTGAAAATTTTCTGGAAGTTTTTCTCTCAGCTACATATTTCATAATTCTATTAAAAAATAACAACATTTAAGAACTGGACTTAGACTGTAACATCCCTTTCATTTCAAAGTATATATTTGCAGTTTTTAGGATTAATTTTCTTCTAAAACAGTAAATGCAGGAAGCTAAAGCATTTATTTTAAAAAAACCTGCAAAATGTTCTAACTACAGAAAAATATCAGAGATAAAAACATTATTAGAAGCATTTAACATCAGAGCAACAAATTCTTGGCTTCATTACCTTGATTCAACTATATTAAACAAAACAACATTTTGTTAGGTGGCAGTAATAAGGTTTGTTGATGTGTCTTGGCAGGAAAATAAAATAAAAAATTGTCTTTGCAAACCACTGAAACAAGTTTGCTCATTCTGTTCCTTTTCTCCTACAAACTGCATGTTCATGGATTCAGAATAAATAAGTCATAAATAACAATAGGACTAAACCAAAATAAAATTGTATATGTATTATCTTACTTATACTTATCATCTTGATTATCAGTTTTGGCTCACATTTATACAAAACTCTCTTCCATATTAGTGCATAACAGAAAAGAATCCACCAGTCTGGGCTTTACTAGCTGCTGAAAATCCAAATCTTCAAGTGTATCAGGACTCATAACTGCTAGTCTTCGTAGGGCTGCCTGGAAAAACAAAAGAGCACAATGGTAATGCAGTTAGATTTGACGAAGTCTTCACTGCAGATAATAGGCAAGACTCAGAACTGAACTGTGCAGGCTAATTCTCCTACCTGGCTAAGCTCTTGTTACTGTCTTGATCTGTCAGATGAATCTCCCCTCAAATACAGCCAATAAATGACAATTCTTTTGGGGCACATTACTTTTAGACCTGAGTAGCAGGGACAGTGTGGTGGTAAAGAACACAGAGGTGAGAATCAGAGGACTTTTAATTGTAAACCTATCTCTGGTCTGTGGCACATCTCACGCTGCCTCTTTGTATCTCAGCTCTCTTCTCACCTTCTGTCTTATTTATGAGAACTATAAGTCATCTGATTCAGAAAATATCTGATACCGAAGTTTTGTGTAATGTCTTTAATACAAGTCTTCTAGGTACTAGTGTAGAAAGAAACAGTACATTTCAAACCATTTAGGAACAAATAAACTGACATTTGTTCTAATTATGAGGCTGTACAATAAAAATCTCATTGATGTTTCCATTGTCTTCATAAACTCTTCCCTTCTAAGGAGTTGTTTGGTTTTCTCACTGGAGAAAAATATACAACTTCATACCTTCTAGCAACCTGTCATGACAGATGCAACTGGAAAGCAGGTTGGCTTTCCTCAAGAACAAAAATTGTCTTCTATTGGTAAAGTCTGATAGCTGGGATCAGCTTACCCTCTCTTGTGCTGTCAGTGGAGCACTAACACAGGAGTTAATCGCCAGCTTCAAAATGTATAAAAAATAAACAACTATGCTAAAAATACCAAACAGTACAAGCCCTCACACTTCAGAGACAATACCTATCAGAGCTGGAAGCAGCTTATGTCTCCAGGACAATATTTTTGCCACATGTTTATTAGATAATGTCTTCAGGCAGTCACTAAAATATCAGGAGAAGCAGAGTTGCTGAGACAGGCAGGTGACATCTCAAGCAGTAGGCATGAATTCAAAGAAGGTGCAGCAATAAGTTCCACAAGACACAAAAAATCATAGCTGGTCTGCTGCCATCTCTCTGTGGTCTCTGCTTTAGCCATACAAGACTAATAAGCCTTCTCAGCATGTATGAAGGACAGCCTCTGTATTTCTTGTGCTTGCATTCATACTTTCTTCATCCTGAATGAGTCCAACCTAAATGAACCAGCGGCAGTAACCAAGTTTCACATTTAAAATAACATTAATACTATAAAGCACTGTCAAACAATATTCTTCAGTCTTCATACATCAAAACCTATGCCCTAACCCTAGATCACCCGTGTGCCCAGAGCACTTTCACAGAATGCTCAGTGAAATCACTCAACTCTGACAGTTGTTGGGAGCTCACAGTCCATGCTGGGCCAGCAGCTGGGATCTTTCTCCTGAGTAGAGAAAGTGTTAACCTTCTGTTGCCCTGTTCTTGGTTGGGCACTATATTTTTTGGAGATTCATATAGAAAAAAAAAATGGACTGTAATGGAAGCAAGTATCATTTACTCCTTTTGGACACTTTACACAAGTATTTTTATACATATGTGTGTTTGCAGATAAAGGGGACTATCCCTTGACTCAAGGCTAATTTCAGCAAACAGCATCACCAGAGAATGGTATTTAGAAATAAACAAATCTTTAAATTCTGCAGTGCTCCAGTGAAATTTTTTGGTGCTCAATAATGTGAAGATGAAGCCATTATTCCTTATGTACTTAAATCTTCAATCAGAGGATAAATAATTGACAGTGTACAGGATTATGCTTAAGGGGAAAAGCAGGAGACCCTGACATGAATTTAAAACATTCCTGTAATACTTATGCATTTTGAAATCTGAAGGGAGGGTTTTTTTCTTAACTTTCCATTATAAACTTGAAAGAAACACCAAAATGTACATACCAGACATGCCACTAGAACAGAATCGCTGTTATTTCTTTCGGTTGGTGATCTGCAAAGTTTAATTAGGCGAGGAATACCTGAGTGCACAAAGAGTGTCAGGAGAAGTAATTTAGAAAAACAACTTCTTATTTTGAGATGTGTAATATTTATCTTTCTTAGTAGATGTGATCTCTAATGCAAAGATGATACGCAAATACTTAAGGGACTTTTCATGGAGCTATGCAGTTCTGAGCAGTCATAATTAATAGTTGTAAAGCATAAACAAATAAATTGGGTTTACTTGCTGTTGCTCTTTCAGAGCAGAAATCATGACCTCCATTTCTTCCCTATCAATCCTCCCCTACATCCTTAAAAAACTCCAACTCAAGAACACACTCCCTCCCACAGGATTCATTCCACTGACAGATCCTGCACAGGGGTTTGCGTAAAGGAATGGAGGAGGCAGCAGTGCCAGTTGGCACAGTAAGACACAACTCAATGTTGAGTGGATACAGCACCTCAGGTTCCTCTGGGAAATGAGCCAAAGATTCATTTAGCTCAGCCTCCTCAGTCATTCTCTGGACAGACTCTATAAGGAATATATTCCATAAAGTATACCAAGTGAGGCTAAAAATCAAGAAGAGTTTCTCCGTGGCTGGCGGTTCCTCCCTCTTTTTCAGACATTAAGCTAGAGATACATCCTTACAGCTGAGTTTTACGGCTGCATCTGCCACTTCAGGGTCTCGGCTGAGTCGTGCCAGTGTAACTGCAGATTTCTGTTGGACTCGCTCGCAAGCAGCAACTTCTGCTGAACTTCCTGAAGATGATTTTTCAAAGAGCATTTCCATTAAAAGTTGAATACCTAAAAGAATGTAAGAGCCATTGTTATCCTCTCTCCAACAAAAAAAACTTGGTGCAAAAAAAGTAAAGGGAAAAAGCAAGAAAGGTAAATACAGACCAGTCACTTGCCCAAATAAGTTATGAAGAATGTGGACTGCAATTTGGATATAAGCATTCAGGTACATGTGATCTGTGCATAAGTTTATCTTCACTGGGAAGCTACAGAACTCCTGGAACTAGAAAATGTACTATCTCTTCCCTCCTCTAACTCTCCTCTACAAGTTGGTATTTTAGTTTTCATGAATTTATTTCAATCGAACTAATTGCAATTCTTTATTTGCTTTCAAACTAACTTGGAGGTAATCACTATCTAAAACCTGTAGTGCCATAAATCAGGTCTTTACATGAAATTTCACTCTGAATTAATTTTTTTTTTGTTTTTAGTTTATGTCTTTTTAAATAAGTCTTTAATAGCTTCCTTCTCAAACTGTTTAAGTGTACTTTAGAATGGGGAAACCTATAACAAAGGAAACTAGGAGATTCTGTCTGTTGAAGTTTACTGTGTGAATGACTCTTTACTTCAGAAGAGATGATGTCTTCCATGTCAAAATGACTTCATTAACATATTATTGCCTTTAGGAGTTGATATTCTTATTGTAGGGCCATAAAAACACTTGAGACTGTACTGATTTCTATTTTCTAGATTATTTTAACTGTAAAGACAATTATGTGCTATTAGACTCCATATGGTATTAGGAATTCAGATTACTTCAGGTAGCAACAGAGGATTTTAACTGTTACAACATTTGCATAAATAATTCAGAGAATTAGCATCAGAATCATGTATCTAGATAATAATTAATTGATGTACTAAAAAAACCAAATACTTTTAAAAGTATCTAAATTCTCTAGCATTCAAAAACCCTTCTCAGTTTGTGAATCTGGTCTCTGACCAACACCTGGCTATTACAACATTGGGCAGACACAAAAAGCCTTTACATACAATCTGAGTGTCAACCTTTCTCAAAAGCCAGTGGGAAAATGCTTCTTGTGAACTTCCATTATGGAATGTATACACAAACTTTGTCACATTGTCCTTGGCAATCTATTTGTACATGTCCACCCACTCCAGTATCTGGCATAGCTCTTAGTATAATTCATGAACTTCAATCAAGTTTCTGCTGAAGTAGAAGCAGATGAAATATGACCAAACACCTGTCCCAAATAACAGAAGAGGTTTTGATGTGCTCAAGGAAATAGATAGCCAAACTACATAACCAGTCTGTTACTCACAAAGAGTGCAAAAGCTTCCAGGGCATATCTGGATTGTAAGTGTTGACAACAGAAGATCAGTACAAGTCCAACAGACAAATCACCAACACGATATTCTCTCCCCAAGGCTATAATTACAAACACCTGCATCCCACGAAATGTCAAGGTCTTCCCAAGAGTTTCTAGAAAAGACTCTTGGTAGGAGTAAGACCCATGTGTCTCCACCAAGGAGTCCAGAACCACCTCTCCAAGCCCCAGGAACACAACGAGCTTGGACCAGGAGCATGGCAGGAACCACCAAATGGACCTGACCAACCTCTCTCTGGGATTGCCCCATCCTCCCCATGAAACAAGGAGGTCATATGAGAAACAATCACGCTAACCTGCCTTGCCCCTCTCCTTCAGTGCACTGTTCTCTGCATGGGACATGGAAGTTTTACACGTTATTTGTGAAATTACATGTATCTGTGATTAAATTGCCTCAGTACTCAGATCCATTCAACCTCCATGTTGTCATTTGTTCTGAAACTGTGACACCTCTGCACCTCTGCAAGGACATCAAATGCACACATACCTTTGGGCACACATGCACTGTATCTAACCATTGCCAGTCATATCTGTATGCATAGGACCAAAATTTTCCATTAAAATACAAGAAACATCTAAATCCAATATTGCATTGGAACTGGCCAGTTCTCTTTGAGGACCTGCTGCTATGTACATACTTTCTGAAATACCTTCTCCCACTGAAAATCAGCCTTGTCTGAGAGGCACATGGATCCAAGCTCAAACCATTCCTACATAAATGTTAATTTTAAAAATATGGAGGGGATATTCCTAGGACAGAAAAAGCAATATATAGGAAGTTTCACTGTAATTTAACATCTACACACACACACACACGCAAAAGAAAGCTGTCTTACTATATTGCTTGGCCATGAATTTGCTGGTAGGTGTATTAATAAGGCATTTATCCTTCTTCACAGATTTAGTAACTTCTAAGACTTCTGGTGGGCCTATAACGCCCAGGGTTTTTTCAACATAATGAATTTTGCATAATATGATATTTTAAGATATGAGGAGAAAAAAACCCTGACATCTGTTGTATAGTAATAAAAACATGATGCTTCAAAATTTATAATACCTCTTAATACCTGCAAAAAAAGTGACACAAAATGCAGGTATGAATAGCTCAGCATCAGATGATTTCTTTCTACATGTAATAACTGCCACCTTACACAATGTAATTACCAGAATAAAGTCTGTTGAAACACTTTTTTCTACTTTTTTCTACTTTGCTTTGCATCTATGAGCAAGCCACACACAGAGAACAACAGAAGTGTGGTCATAAATGTAAAGTTTTCTAAAACAGTGGTATTTTTTTTCATTTATATCATTTACAAAGAACCATCCCCAGGATTCATTTTTCACCCTGCAGCAATGTGCAAGAGATAAGATGCAAAATGAAGTTTTATTAGTGAAGCCTTACTCCTTTTCTTTACTTTCCCATCCACCCATATTCTCCAGATATATAAAAAAATATAATTCAGTTAAAAGACATACCATTTCCTTGAATGATTTCTGAAGCACACTGGTCCAACACAGACATGTTTGCCAATATTGTAACCACCTGTTGTTAAAAAGAGAAGGAAGCATGAAGTCTAGTCCTACAATTCAATAGTAATAAATAACACCGTAGTTTATAAAATTAGTATGGCAGAATTATGTCAAAGCCAATAACACTAAAAAGCATTCTTGCAGTTGGACAGCCTGTTCCCACCTCTGTGATTTCTCGGGGGTCTTTATCTTACATATGGCTGCTAACTGAAGCCAGACAACAAGAAAAATGAGGTCTCCTTTTATCACAGTTTTAGAATTGTGCACAAAATCTGTCTTAGAGAGATCTGTGCAGCAGGTTTGTTTAGTGGTCAGATTGGTAGAAAGAAGGGGATAAAAGCTATAAAACTCAACCAACTGAAAAAACCAACAAATGGAGTCCTAGTTCAGCCAGGAGCTGCCTACCCTCAGGAACCAGTCCTGTAGTCCCATTTCAGTTCAGGCAGAGCTCACAGTGAAAGCAAAGAACCAGCACCCAGCACACGTCCTGTAGTGCTGTTATTGCCTCTTTTCTGGTTCAGGGTTCAGATGAAATTCTGGGAAATCCTCACAAGAGATTTGGAGTTTTGAGCCTTGACTCAAGCGAATATTTAAGGAATACTTTTCAGTTTCACTGAAGCCATGAGTTGTGTGCATGTTAAAGCACTGTCCCAAAAAGAGCTGGATTTAAAAATCTCTTTATACCTTTCCTCAGCTAAGACCACAGTTTGGCTTTGTACCAACAGGAGTACATTTTGAGATCTTGATTAACAGAATTTCTTATCCAAAATCATTTCAACTGTCAAGATTAGGTGTTACTCAACTCGCTTAAAGTGATGCAGCAAGCCATTGACAGAGACTGGACCACGCAGTGCTGTTGGCTTTCGGTCATCCATTCCCTTCATTGATATCATATACTTTCTCTCATGTATCCTGTCAGAAGTTCTTTTTTACTTTATCCTTCAAATAGCTTGCTTTTTGGATGCAAACAATACTTGCATCTCTATATTAGCAGCGTATGTGAGACACCAAGTAATAAATGCTATTAGATCACTAGAATACAAAATAGAAATAATATTCTTTCTCAAGAAGTTTTAATTTTCTCTAATCTAGTTCAGAAAAATTGATCAGTCTCAGAAATACCAGTCAATTTTGGAAACAGTTATCAACTTTTTAACAGCACAGTGTCAGATCACAAACAAGCAAACTCCTTAGATGTAAGTAGGCATGAGATCAAATCACCATTCTGATCTCACTTTGCCATTTTAAAAACAAGGATGACTCATTTCCGACGCTGTGACATAAAGGTCTTCCACTTCTGAAGGTAGTGTCACAGTGTCATCTCTCTGAATAAATATACTTACTTAGGATGCAAATGAGTTGCTGAAACTGTACAGAGTGACAGGTAGAAATATGGTAACAGTATATGTCTATGTATTTATTCCATATTAATTATTAACTATGTTTCAGGCAGAGTGTATATGTTTTCTCATTCTAAATTATATCCTGTTAATGAAAATTGCTTCCTCTGTGCAGAATCTGTACCCCATGTGGCTCTCTAAGCCACAGATGAAGAATTCAATTAACCACAATTTGAATACATGCCAATTATTCCACTGCTTCAAGTTATTTTGTCTAATAAGTATTTTCATACATAAAAATATTTTGTGTGCAACTTTTGACACCAAAAATTTTGAGGTTATATCTATACTTCCTTTGTGTTGATTATGTGGCCCCTACATTTTGCATTGTTTATGAACAAGCCTAGGGGGTTTATACGTAACCTTCTCCATAGGGGTGTATACAAGACCCTTATGATTAATAACCATCAAGTTCTACCTACATTATCTTTTAAAACCATAGTAGGACTAAAAAAGTAGTTAGCCTGTAGATTAGCTCACTCCACATAGATAGATTTTCCTTTTTCCCCCCAAAATCACATTTTCTTTTGAAGTAAACAATGTAACATGAAATAGCATAATGTAAACACATAGGCAAGCTGACTAAAGAGTAGACTTTAAATGCTCTATTTCTCCTATAGTTTCCAATTTTAAAATTCATGCAGTTTATATGAAAATCTCCTCTGCAGAACAGACCAAAGTTCAAGGAAGTTTCCTACTAAATATGAACTCTCTAGAGTAAAACAAAACTTAAATGTAGACTCCATTTGCTTTGAAAAGTAACACTTATGTGAACACTGGTATTAATGAAGTCGCATCTCTTTTGGATTTAGAGTTGATCAAAAATTATAACCACAATTTTTCCGGTAGCGTCTCTCCCACTGTACATTTTATTTTATTTTAATTTTTGTCTAATGATACATAGGCTTACACTGCAGTGTTTATCTTATGCTCTTTTGCCATCATCTGGCTCCAAATTTCATAAAGCCTTAGGCAGTTTCTCAAAAATAACTATGAAGTCCTGTTGAATCAGCAAACCAGTTCAGATGTTATTGAGAAACATGGAGCACACAAACAGATACAGATAAAAGCAACTGCCTAACCCTCATTTTGTAGTTGAAAATTACTGGGGAAAAACAAACAAACAAAACCTCTTTCAGAACTGAATAATTTTGAAATAATTGAAAGACTTGAAAACATTTAACATGGAATCTCTACTGCTCAACTGCAATATTTAATATCAATTTCATTAACCATTCAAGTAGTTGTTCCTGTAAAAGATCACACTCTAAGATTTCAAAGCACTGGCACCTGACATAATTTATGATTCTTACAATTTTTCTGGATTCCATACAATGAACTTCTGGTCAACTCAAAGTATAAAAAGGAACATATCCCAAAGACAGGACACATGAGCCCTCATTATCTTCCTGAGCCATCCTATCATGCAGAAAGAATGTGCTGAAGCCACCCACAAATTGCAGTACCCTAATGATATCTTGATCTGTGGTATTTGCAGATGTGCTATTAAGCAAATACTGGCAGAGATTTCCTAGAGGGGAAGAAAGAGAAAAAGAAGGAAAAAAAAAAAAAGAACTTGCTTCATCCTATGTGGAATTTTTTAATGCAACATCTGTTCTCAGATTATATTGCCAAACCTAATGCAGGATTATAGCGGACTGCCTCAGAAACCATAAGCTGCAAGAACTGATCTCATACAGCATAATTCCCTGCCCCAGCACCTATATCTTTACTAGGTAGATCTGCTGTAGAGGTAGAGCTTGATACATGCATTTCCAATATCTGTATTCTAGCAGTGCTCTCCAATAGACTAATCCTGGCTGGTCCACACTCCATTCTCTGTTATCCCGATCCCCTCAAAATTGCAGGTACCTCTCTAGAGTAGGAGTCTGATAAACAGGGTGGCTCCAGTTTTCCCTGTGAACTGGCAGCCCTAAAACCACTGCAGCTAACGAAGAGCACACAGAAATAGACTTGATGAACAAATAATCATCATAGAATCATGAAATGGCCTGGGTTGGAAGGCACCTTAAAGATCACCTAGTTCCAACCCCTTGCCATAGGCAGGGATACTTTCCACTAGAGCAGGTTGCTCAAAGCCACATCCAACCTGGCCTGGAACACTTCCAGGGTTGGGGTATCCACACTTTCTCTGGACGACCTGTTCCAGTGCCTCACCACCCTCACGTTAAAGAATTTTTTCCCAATATCTAATCTAAACCTACTGTCTTTCAGTTCAAAACCTTTTCCCCTTGTCCTGTCACTACATGCCCTTGTAAAAAGTCCCTCTCCATCTTTCTTGTTTTTTCCCTTCGGGTACATTTGTTTGCCACCAGATGAAAGCTGAATGATTCAGGTCAGTGTCGCATGAGTTACACTACTAAAAACAACCAGAGGAAAGGAAAAGGCCTCTGGGGTGTATCCTGTGTTCAACACCTACCTTTTACCACATGGTGTTCACCACGCACCTAAACCACGTAGTAGTGAGACACAGTAAAATGTAGAATGCCAGGAAAAGAATTCTCAGACCAGCTCATGTTTTAGCACTTTTTGAAAAGGCACCAACTTCTGAAAATATTAACATGCAGAGAGTCCCACTGGAACTAGTAAGATTTTTCATGAGACTAAGGCATTAAACAGTTAATTTTCAGAGTTAAAAAAAATAACCCCACACCTAAAATCAAGAAGCTTTGAAAGTTCACCTTTAAATGGTTTGCAGAGATATTTGAGGGGGAAGGGCCCCTTTAGGTCTGTGGAAAATTTCCCCATTTAATAAATAAACCTAAAAAATAATAGAATTATTTCATACATTTCAAATGTCAGTACAATATCATCTTGCTAGTCTTACAATTGCTGCAGAAATTAATCTGAAATCCAATGCAAAAACTCCATTTCTATAGGTAAAATGAGTAAACAGATAGTAAACAGATACATCTCTCTAGTGACAATATCATCCATTGTTATAAAATTGGCAGTGTTGATCTTGTTGGTTTTTCTAGCAAACAAAATCTATTTTCATAATTTGAAAATTGGTTTTATTTCCACATACTTTCCTTCCACTTTCTCCACTTTTCACAAATGCTGAATTTATGGGTGATGAACTTTCCTTTACAGCTCTGTAGTCTGCTTTGCACTAAGTTGTAGAAATTTCAGCTGTAAAAAGTGATTTAAATTTGAGAAACCATGGTTAATTGAGAACTTTAAAATAGTTTTGTTCAAACAGTAGTCACCTTGGAAATTCTCTCGCTAAAATATGTAACTACTAATATTACTAACTAATGTTGGCTAATGCTAGTCACTAATGGTGACTAATGTTCATTAACCAGTGTACAAAGGTACTGAATGTTTGTTGCAGAAGTGAAAACTAGATGAAAATGATTTGCTGTAAAGTAAAATACATACACTGAGAGTATAAAACTCAAATGCTTGTTAACAAAGAGATTTAAACCTAAAGAAAACATAAGAAACAGAAGGTTTCTTTGATAACTTTCCCTTAATGAGAGATTTAAGATGATCTGAAATTGTTTCCCATTATTGTGAAACTAGCTACTCAGAAAGAAAGATGCAATGGGGTTTGGAAGGTGAAAGCATAAATTTAAGCCTCCTAAAGGGA